GAAAAATCGGGAAAATAAAACTTATATATTTTAGGCCTATTATGACCCCTAAAGCTAATGGTATGCAATTCCTGATGATTTTGTTAACTATTTTTTTCGGGAATTCCCGAAATTTCGAAGCCTTAGTCATTAGATATACACTTCATATGCAATCATATGTATAACAAGACTATTGTCATTCCCGGACTAACTCCACATTAAATAACACACTTTTCTTATTGTAAATATAATATACAATAACATTCAAAACACAAGTAAAACTTCTCGGAAAAAGTAAAACATATTTTTTGAAACACTTTTCATCCAAAAGTGAAATAAATTTTTTTATATACAGATAGAGATTGATTGCTATTTAAATGATACCCAATTGTATTGAGTGTCTGAAAACATTGTTGTTTTGGTTTCACAAAGTTTGTAATACCATTCAAACATTTAACGTTATCATCAAAGTCTTAAACATGTTCGTTGTTATCAACAAAATAATTTAATATGTTTTTAATAATTTCCACCAAGCTAGTAAATCTATAGTTTTCATCATATGCAATAAAAAGTACAAATATAAAACATAAATAGTAAACATTTCAGTGAAAATCATTATATCACGTAAAAACCCACAGTATTTAAATGCTTGGAAATTCTTAGTTTTGAAAGTAAATATTATATAAAAAAGTTTTAATAAATAGATATTTTCAAACGTTTGTTTCAATTTTATGTGAAATGAATTGCATTTATTAAAGCCTGACCTCAGAATAGCTATGAATTATGTCTAATATATTCTGTCGACTCCTCTGCGGAAGTCAATAGACTGATAATGAATTCAATTTTGAGGTCAAATATTATTTACTTATTTATGTTTAACACAAAAACGTTTAACAATAATCGATAGATAATCGTTAATAAGAATTGTTTAATAATTAGATTCGTTATGCGATCTATCAATTGGTAATACACTATCAAATCATAAACATTTTAATTACAATGTATTTCAAAACTACTACTAAATAAATGTCCCTGCATCTGTTCATATTATTCAATAATATTTGTCTTAAAAATTAAAAAAAATTATTATCTACATAATATAACATATAGTGTATATAATATTCTGCATATAATATAATTATATTGAAATTACTTAAATATTTTAAGATTTAACTCTTAATATATATTTATTACAAAGATATATTTGTCAGAAATATAATTAAAAAATTCAATATAATTAATATGTTGTGAATTTGTAATATTAGTGAGACTTCAAGTGCAGGTATAGGGGCATCAGTTTCCTGGGGCAGTGAACTCTCCATTTTTGCATCCATTAGTTATATCCATAGATCGGATCGACTACTGATGGATACCTAAGTCTCCGATCACGTCGTCCTCACAAATAATGCAAAATTCGGAGAATATTTGTCACAATTTATTGAATAGTTTTGTTTAAAAACCAAGAGATGTGTTGCAGTGTTGGCTCTATTGCTATACATTGTATGTCGGGCTTCACCGCCGTCTTGACTCCCATTTTATATGTTTATCGTTTATACGCAAAGATTCTTCTAATGAATACTCAGTTTTTTGTTTTATCAATAAAACCATTAAAGACTAAATTTATCGCAAGTTTTCAAACTATCTAATGGTTTCAATTTAATGACTCCAAAAAGCATTCAATTTATATTTAAAAATATAATATTTTTGATTTCTATTTAGAAATTAAATAATTTTATGTCTCAAACAGTAGCAAAAATTTAAATTATTAATTAATTAAAAGAGTATATACTAGTTATTTAAATATAAAATAAATCTCATTAGTTTTAGAGTAGTTTACTATAATTAAAAATAATATTTCAAAAAAGTTTTTATTTAATGTAATGAACATAACCTTAAAATCTATGAATAAGTGAAAAATAGTCGTAAAATTGCAACAAAAGTAATAACTATGTAAAGCTTTCCGTCTATTGATTTAAATTAACAATAATTTAAAAATTAGTGATTTGTTCTCAATCTTTAAATTTTAATAAAGCAATAAAACAAAATATTGAAAATAAAAAAGCAAATCATTAATAAATAAAAATATATAATCAGTCATTAATTGGATTAAAGCAATTGTACTAAAAACTAATATAATTATTAGAAATATCATAATTTTTTAATTATAACAAAAATTAATTTAAAAAAAGCATTTCCCTAAAGTTTGAGGCAAAAGCTTAATTATATTGACAATACTATAGTGTTGTACTACTACTGCACATAGTATTCAGATTGTATTGAATGGTAGAGAGAATGCAATTAATGTATGATTTGATAAAATATAAAAAATCAAAACATTTGAATCAAAACGAGTTTGAGTTCAACTTGTATTCAATTGATAAACAAAAAAGTGTTTGATTTATGAATGGGACACAAAGATAGGCATAGAGACAGAGAGAGTGACCAAATAAAACAATTATATAATCGCAATATACAGTACATGTGCGGTAAGAGTAGATTCTATGCGCTTATGGCCTAATAGTGCGCTCGTCTATAGACTACTAGCAGTTCTAATGCCGTCACTTGTCATACATTGAAAGCTGCGCTTACTTTCATTGAAAGCAGTGATACAATGGATAGTGACTATGAAATGTAATGAAATGTTGGTATATTGCCTACCTGACTGACCTGGGGCAGAGTGCCATTCTCCTGTCTGGGAGTGATAGTGGTGTCTCCAATGCCACTGTCAGGTGATGGCAGGTCAACAGTGAGGCCATGAATGGTTGCCTTATAAGTTTGTGCGCCATTAGCACTGGAAGAGGCCGGTTGTTGCCGCAGATATCTGTCCAGGAATGATGTGGTCTCTGTGTCGGTGGTTGTGGTGTATGTGGCGGTTGGGGTTGTGCTCAGGTGTTGGCGCACTGTTTGGTATTGATCACTGGTATTGACTGATGTGGTGGTGGAAGTGGTCGGGTAATAGTCCCTGTATGTGATATAGTCAGCTGTGGTCAAGTATACGGTCCCGCCATTAGTACAGGCATTGGCGGCCGGAGTGACGGTTGCGTATTGAGAGGACACACCTGTATTCACCTGTTGTACAAAGCAATGCATTTACACAATACAGTCAATACAAGTCAATAGAGTCACACATTTTTCAACATTTCAGGCAATACTATGAATACATGCGAACAAAACCTCAATTTTCTCGGTTTACAAGTTTTGTATTGAATTGAGAGAGGGATGAGAGAGAGAGAGAGAGAGAGAGAGAGAGAGAGAGAGAGAG